CTTTTTTGTGTGTGTAGTTTTCTTTTAGCTCATCAGTTATTGTTAGTGTTAGTGTATTTTATGTGTGGCTCAAGGCAATTCTTCTTCCAATGTGGCCCAGGGAAGTCAGAAATTGGACACCCATGGTTTTATTAATATAGTTACCCCTCACTTTTAAACATAGTTTTACTGAGGTATATTTCACGCACTATAAGATTTGCCCCTTTACAGTGTCTATCTCAGTGGCTTTAGTATATTCATAGAGTTGTGAAGCTATCACCACATTTAATTTGAGAACACTTCACCACCCAAGGAAGAAACCCCTTGCACATGAACAGCCATTCCTTATTCATGCTGTCGCTTGCTCCACCCCATCCCCAGGCAACCGCTAACCTGCCTCTGTCTCTGTGGATTTGCCTATTATAGACATTTAATATAAATCAAATCATCCACTGTGTAGTCTTTTGTGACTGGTGAGGACTAAGCTTTGATTTTTTATCTTGCCCAAGTTTCTATCTAAGAGGTCTGGGGAGTCACGCCCTACAAACCATAAATTTTCATCAGATGGGGTTTATTTAACCCTACATATCGTGACTTACTTTCCAAACTGACTCTGGCATAACATTATGAGGCAAGAAAGAAAATAAAAATATTTTATCCCAAAACATGTTTCTTGAAATGGCCCTGCAAAGCTGTCCTTTGTAGGGGAAAATGTGCATCTGTAAAGAATCTCTATTTGCAAAGCTAGATCTTTTTCTTCCAGGCCCTCCCAATCCTAAAGAGATTAATTAAGAGTCTAGTGCCTTTTAAAGATCTGATTAGGAAACATTTCTCATCTATTGTCTCCAATGGTAGTCACTATAAGACTTCAAAAGAAACTTGGGCCAGGTGCGGTGGCTCACGCCTGTAATCCCAGCACTTTGGGAGGCCAAGGTGGGCGGATCATGAGGTCAGGAGATCGTGACCACGGTGAAACCCCATCTCTACTAAGCGTCACCGCAGGCAAATGATAGTCTGGGCAGGTTTTAGTTAGCATGTCTCAGCACTTCCCTTTTTTTTTTTGAAACAGGATCTTGTTCTGTCGCCTAGCCTGGAGTGCAGTGGCATGATCTTGGCTCACTGCAGCCTCTGCCTCCCAGGCTCAGGTGATCCTCCAGCTTCAGCCTCCTGAGTAGCTGGGACCACAGGCATGTGTCACCATGCCCAGTTAGCTTGTGTATTTTTGTAGAGACAAGTTTTCACCATATTGCCCAGGCTGGTCTCAAACTCCTGGGCTCAACCTCGGCCTCCCAAAGTGCTGTTATTACAGGCATGAGCCACTGTGCCTGGCCCACTTCGTTCTTTATTATTGCTGGATAATATTCCATTGTATGCATACCCACATCTTATTTATTCACCAGCTCATGGACATGTTTTCACTTTTTGGCTAATATTAATAAAATAATGCTGTTATGAATAGCCTTGTACAAGTTTTTGTGTAGGCATGTGTTTCTATTTCTCCTTCATTATACTTCAAAGTGCGAGTGCTGGATCGTATAACTCCATGTTTAACATTTTGAGGAACTGCAGGACTGTTTTCCAAAGTGACTGTACCATTTTACATTAGGATCAGCAATGTGTGAGGATTCTAATTTATCCATGGCCTCACAAGCACTTGTTATTGTCTGTCTTTTTAGTATCAGTACTCCTAGTGGATGTGAAGTGACAATCATTGTAGTTTTCATTTGTATTTCCCTAGTGACTTATGATATTGAGTGTCTTTTCCTTTGTTGGCCATTTGTATTTCTTCTTTGAAGAAATGTCTATTCAAATGCTTTGCCCACTTTTGATTGAGTTTTTTATCGTTTTGTTGCTGAGTTGTAAGATTTATTTATATATTCTGAATACCAGCCCCTTATCAGATATATGATTTTCAAATATTTTCTCACACTCTGTGGGTTGTCTTTTTACTTTTTTGATAATGTCCTTTAAAGCACAAAAGTTTTAAATTTTGATGAAGTCAACTTACCTATTTTTTCTGTGTGTGTGTGTGTGTGTGTGTATTTTGTGTTGTATCCAGACAACCAGTGCCTAACCCGATGTCACAAAGATTTCTCCAATATATTCTTCTAGAAATTTTATATAATTTAGTTCTTGAGGTTAGGCCTATGATCCATTTTCAGTTATTTTTTTGTGTATGGTTTGATGTAGGGGTCCAAATCATTCTTTAGCATGTGTATATCCAGTTGCCCAAGTACGTACCACTTATTAAAAAGCCAATTTTCCCCACCGAATTGTTTTACTTTTTTTTTGAAAACTGATTGACCATAAATATGAGGGTTTATTTCTGGACTCTCAATTCTATTCCATTGACCTATATATTTATCCTTATGTTAGTGGTACATCTCCTCACTTTCTACCTGGGCCTTTATGTCTAAAGTGGTTTCTATAATATGGTTAGGTCTTGTTTTTTTTCTTTTTAAAATTTAATTCAGCTTCATTATCTCTGTCTTTTAACTGGAGTATTTACATCATATTTAAAGTGATTATGGATATAGTTGGATGAAAAGCTACCATCTTCATAACTATTTTTGTTTTCATTTGTTTTTTGTTTCTTTTCACTCCGTCTGCGTTCTCTTGTTTTAATTATTTTGTATGATTCCATTTTATCTTTTATCTTGGAGTATCACTTATACTATTAAAACCTTTTTAGTGGTTGTTTTCGAGTTTTTACAATATGCACTTAAAAATAACCTAAGCCCACATTCAAATAATACTTACTACACCACTTCATATCTAGTATAGGTACCTCATAATACAGCATCCCCAATTTCTTTTTCCCATTTCTTGTGACATTACTATCATTTATTTCACTTATCCATATTAGATATTTTTAAATATCTAATAGCTTGCAGTTCTGGAGGCTGGGAAGTCCGAGCATGCAATATACTGTTAATTACCATTTTCAAGTTTTCCTTTAGAACAATTAAGAATTTTAAACAATTGTGTATTATCTTTGTTTAGCCTTTGATGGTGTTCCTTTCTTTACGTAGATCAAGGTTTCTGACCTAAATAATTTTCTTTCTGCCTGAAGAACTTTAACATGCCATGCTGATAATGAATTCCCTCAGTTTTTGTCTGAGAAAGTGTTTATTTCTTCTCCTTTCTGAAGGATAATTTCTCTGGATATAAAATTTTAGATTGGTAATTTCTTTTAACCCTTTAAGGGTTTTGCTGCACTTTGTTCTTGCTTGCATGGTTTCTGATGAGAAGTTCACTGTAATCCTGTTTCTCTGTGGGCCATGTGTTCTCTCTGCCCGGGGACTAAGCCTTTGCTAGGAATGAAAGTCTGGGCAGGTTTTAAGATGCCTACTCTTCTCTTCTCCCATCTTGATTAGAAGGGGTTCTTTCTCAGATTATCCCCATGGGAACCTAGTGGGGTTTCTGGAGTGACAATCCATGTAAGTGTTGAGCCCCTCTCATGGCTGCAGACCCTCACCAGAGTTTCTCACTCTCATACAAATCTGCATTCAGCCTCCTGCAATTCACCAGAGTAATAATTTAAGTGTTCCCACCAGCTTACTGATTCTAATGGCTTTTATTCCAGGTAAGTAGATCTCAGGGGCAATAGCTCTGTGAATGCATCTGTCTCTCCAGAGCTCAAGATAGTGGTTTGCCCTGTGACCTCAGTCTCTGATGGTTCCAAGAAGAGTTTGTTATCTTCAAGTTGTCCAGTTTTTTCTGGTATACACAGGTATGATGACTTAGTGGCTCTTTACATCTAGGAGCTTATTTGTGTGTTTTTTGTAAAGGTGCTTGAATGGATGAATAACTGTTTACCATAAGACTAGAGAAATTTGTGTGTCTGCTCCTCAGGTTGAACCCCAGTGGGTGGTGAGTGAGTTAGTGCCCAAACCCTAACCTGTTTGTTTAGGCAAGGGCTCTGTCTTCTGCCTCCTCTCATGTAAGCACTGAAATGTTAATCAGCAGGTAAGAGTTGGGTTAAACCAGGGTTGGGATTTAGCCAGGTGAGTGAGGACCAGAGAGTTGAGGGTGTATGTAAGTGAGTGATTATACACGTGAATCACAAAATTTAAGCCTGAAAAGTAGAGAAAGGAGGGATGGTGAAAAGGCAGTAGGATCTGTTGTAGGTTCTGGCTTCTCTTATATAGTTAGGTAGTAATGACTTCTCATTACCTAGTCAGCACTTTCAATGGAAATCAACAACTGCTTTGGGACCATCAGTAGGCAAGGCACTGTGTTAAATGATGTGGCACAAAAAAGATCATCTGTGCCATTCAGGAGAGGTAAGCATGTAATTCAAGGAGACAAAGTATTCCAAGTACTATACTAAAAAGCAAAAGATTCTGAAAAAAGTCTAGACTCTTCAGTTGGCCATTCAAAAATTTCCACAATGTGATGCTAAGCCATTTTTTGTTCTTATCTCCCTCACTCCCCTAAACAAATCCATTGTGAGTCCATCATCATTTTATAAGCATAGTTTTCTTTTCTCCCTTCTCTGCACCTTTTGCACACTGGTAATGTTCTTCCTAGAATGCTTACTTGTATGACCTCCTCCAACAAAACTCACTTGCCATCCTGAAGGCTGAGCTTAAATGAGGAAACCAGGAAGCCTTTCTAATATCTTTAGCAGTAGTTGTTTCCTCTCTTCTCAATTGTTCACATGGTATCTACCACATGCAGATACTTGGATTACCTCTTCCAGCAGACACTGTGGATATTTTCCTGCCTGTCTATGTAGCAGTGTCTGCCCTTTAGATAAGTAAGGGAAGCCCACGAGGAAAAGAGAAACATAAAGAAGGAGGTTAGAACCAGATGGTTGAAATCAGCCACTGCCTTAGGCTTCCTGGTTGTCATGGATATGATATTTTCTATTGTTCATAACTCTGGTCTCTATGGTGAGCTCACAATTAAAGCTAGAACTTTATAAAGGCAAGAAACAAGATTGGGAGTGGCTCACTTAATATTTCAGTGAAGGTGGAGGGCACTGTCTTAGTTGGTTTTCTGATTCTAGAACAGAATACTCAAGACTGTGTAATTTATAAAGAAAAGAGATTTATTTTGTTTACAGTTCTGGAGGCTGGGAAGTCCAAGATCGGGTGGCCACATCTGGTGAGAACCTCATGGCTTTCACAGCATGGTGGAAAAGTGGAAGGTGAAACCAGTGCCTGTGAAAAGAAGAGAAATGAAGTGGGCTGACCCACTTTATAACAACCTGCTCTCTGGAGAACTAACCCAGTCTCTTAAGAACTGCATTAATCCCTTCATGAGGGTGGAGCCCCATGACCCAAACACTTCCCATTAGGCACCCCCTCCCAACACTGCTACATTCTGGAATTAAGTTCCCAACACCTGAACTTCTTGAGGGATATACTCAAACCATATCAGGCAGGTATGGCGAGGAGAGATAGATTGGGTAAAGATTAAAATAAATACATACTTTTCCAATGGTTTCCCTCCCCGACAAAATATTCATGTTACGTTAGCTCAAATCTTGTTTTAGATCTATTTCCTCTATTCCTGTTAAGATAGCAATATAACTTACTCCACCAACTGACTCCCTTCTCATCACCTCACAATCCATGGCACCTCTTAAAATGACCAACTCAGGGACGGGCGTGATGGCTCACACCTGTAATCCCAGCACTTTGGGAAGCTGAAGCTGGTGGATCACCTGAGGTCAGGAGTTCAAGACCAGCCTGGCCAACATGGCAAAACCCCCTCTCTACTAAAAATACAAAAATTAGCCAGGCATGGGGGCGCACCTGTAATCCCAGCTACTTGGGAGGCTAAGGCAGAAGAATCACTTGAACCCAGGAAGCAGATGTTGCAACAAGCTAAGATGTGCCATTGCACTCTAGCCTGGGTGATAGAATGAGATTTCATCTCAAAAAAAAAAAAAAAAAAAAAGAAAAGAAAAAAAAATAGACCAACTGAATATAAGTGGAGAAAAATAATCCATGTCAGGGATTTCAAGGAGTGTGCACTGAATGTGGCATATACAGGATGACACTGAAGAAGAGGTTGACAGTAGGCTTTCTGGTCTCTCTTAGTAAGTAGCAGATGGGACCCTCTGACTTAAGTGATGAGGTATGGAGGTAGGGGAGCTAGGGGCACATGGGAGAATTTCTATACTTAGACTGCCTTTTGCCCAGTATTTACAGGGTTGACTTTAGCCAACATAAAACAGCAGCCTTAGGAAAGAGGTAGTGTACGGTCTTGGCTGGACCTTGACATAGTTCAGTGCCTGGCATTAGCCAAACTGCAAACTTAGAGGACACAGTTTCCACCCGAGAACACTCTCTGTTCTGATGCCAACTATAAGTTTGAGAGCTCCCCCAAAACACTTTTAGGTTTGATAATTCACTAGAAAGCCTCACAGGACTCACTGAAAGCTATTACACTCACAGTTATGGTTTATTAAGGGAAAGGATACAGATTAAAATCAGCCAAAAAGCTAGGTACAGTGACTGTCACCTGTAATCTCATTGCTTTGGGAGGCTGAAGCATGAGGGTCACTTGAGCCCAGGAATTTGAGGCTACAGTGAGCTATGATTGTGCCACTGCACTCCAGCTTGGGTGACAGAGGGAGACTGTTCAACTAATTAACTAAACTAACTAACTAGATAAATAATAAAATCAGCCAAAGGAAGAGATACATAGGGCAGAGTCTGGGAGTGCTCCAAACATGAGGCTTCTGTTCCTTCTCCATGGAATCAGGACATGTCACCCTTCTGGTATTGATACGTGACAATGCTCAAAAAGTATTGCTAATCAGAGAAACTCACCAAAGTTTCAGTATTTAGAGTTCTTATTTGGGGTTTTGTTATGTGCTCATGATTGATCAATTGATTGCCTTGTTGAACTTCGTCTTCAGGTCAATTGATACTTCATGCTCCAAAGTCCCCTTTCTAAGTCACATGTTTGGGCTTTCTGTCATGGCCAGCTTCTATCCTAAGCCTTTAACCTAGTGTGGCCAGCCCCATCCTTAAACAAAGGCACTCCTATTAGATTTGGCATAGCTTACCTCCTAGAAGCCTAAGGCAAAGGCCAGATGTCAATTGGGGCAGGACCAAACTCTTCACTACAAAGCTACACAGTAAGTTAGAAACAGTTAATTCATGTGATAGTGGTTTTGCCCAACAGAGAAGAGCAAAAATAAAGCTCCCTTGCAGGGGAGTGCATGAATCTTCTTCCCTCTTCTCCCTTGCCAGGTTGTTGTTGGATTGTACAACTAGAATTGCAAGTTTATATCAACTGGCCCTCCAGTCTAAAAAGTGAGAGGAAGATACTAATAACAGAGAGGCTCACAGTGAGGAACAACGTTTACTTATCCGCATCCTAAACACCTGGATTAGATTGACTTTGTTCAAAAATTAGTAAAAAGAAAATACTGATATGGCAGCTAAGAAAATAATTTATAGTTAAGAGATGGAGAATTGAGATATAGAAGGGGAGAATTATTTGGAAAAAAAGTTTATTCAAGAAGAAGATTAGCCTAGGTAAAGAATTTATGGCTGAGACCCCAAAAGTAAATACAACAAAAACAAAAATAAATAAATGAGACCTAATTAAACTACAAAACTTCTGCACAGCAAAAGAAATAATCGTCAGAGTAAACAGACAACCTATAGAATGGGAGAAAACATTTGTAAATTATGCATCTGACAAAGTACCAATATCCAAAGTCTACAAGGAATCAAACAAATCAGCAAAAACCTCACCAGATAATCCCATTAAAAGGTGGGCAAAGGACATGAATAGATATTTCTCAAAAGAAAATATAAAAATGGCCAAAAAATATAAGAAAAAATGCCCTACATCACTAATCATGTTGGAAATGCAAATTAAAACCACGATGAGACACTACCTTACCCCAGCCAGTATGGTCATTTTTAAAAAGTAAAAACAAACAAAGAAACAAAAAAAGATGTTGGTGTTGATGTGGGGAGAAAAGAAAACTTATACGCTGCTGGTGGGAATGTAAATGAATACAACCTCTGTGGAAAACAGTATGGATATTTCTCAAACAAGTAAAAGTAGATCTACCATTTGATCCAGCCATCCGACCACTGGGTATCTACCCAAGGAAAGTAAGTCCTTATGTCAAAAAGACATCTGCACATGTGTTTATGGCAGCACAATTCACAATTGCAAAGATATGGAATCAATCAAAGTGCCCATCAACTGATGAGCAGATAAAGATATATATGTTACATATATATTTGTGTGCGCATAGGTATGTTTATATATATATATATACTATACTATACTATATATATATATATGAGCACCATGGAATATAATTCAGCCTTAAAAAGGAAGAAAATAATGTCTTTTGCAGCAACTTGGTTGGAACTGGAAGCCATTATTCTAAATGAAGTAACTCAGGAATTGAAAACCAAATACTGCATGTTTTCACTTATAAGTGGACGCTAAGCTTTGGGTATGCAAAGCCATGCAGAATGGTATAATGGACATTGGAGACTCAGAAGTAGGGAGGGTCAGGGGGTGAAGGATGAAAAACTACCTGTTGGGTACAATGTACACTACTCGGATGACAAGCGCACTAAAATTCTAGACTTCACTGTTATAAAATTCATCCATGTAACCCAAACCACTTATACCCTTAAAGCTATTGATATAAAAAAGATTTTTATAAAGAAGGAGCAAGTTTTAGAAAATGTCTATGATGTATTCTCAATATCTTTAAGATATGATCTTGAAATGAGACTAATGGTGAATGATAATACAGCAGAAGTGACAAAGTAGGTGGCTGATGAGCTATCTTAAATAGGGGTTAAAAAATAAGCAGAGTTTAGTCATAGAATTTAAATCTTCAAAAAATAATAAAGCTGAATAAAACCTATTTAAAATTAAATTAGTGATGTGGAGAGAAAACTTGAGAAAGCTTCCCAGAATAGAGAGAAAAAGGTACAGGATGAAATGCAAGACAGGAAAAAATAGTAGACATTGAGAAGAGAGGAAGGAGGCCCAACATCAGATAATTGGTGATAGCAATGGGATGCAATATTCAGAGAAATCAGAGGGTAAAATAGAAGAAACTTTTCTTGACCTGAAGAAAAACCCAGCACCAGGGAAAATAATTTTTAAAATGTGCCCACCCTCCAAGATGGCTCCCAACGTCCCCACCTGCAGGTATTCACATCGGATCAGGGTAGGTCTGCGTGACTAATAGCATATGGCAGAAGCAATAGTCTATCACTTTTGAGATTAGGTTGTAAAGATGCTCTAGCTTTGTCTTGGTGGTTCTTTCTCTTGGATTACTTTTTCTGGAGGAATGAAGTCACCATGTCATGACCAGCTCTTTGGAGAGGCCCATATGTGGAGGAACTGAGCCCTCTGACCTCCCACCATGGCAAGCCTTCAGATGACTCTAGCCTCAGCTGACATTGTGAGATGCCCTGAGCCAGACCCATTCAGCTAAGCCACTCTTGGATTCCTGGAGAGATCATCAATATTTATTGCTTTAAAGTGCTGAATTTTGAGGTAATTTGTTATGGAGCAATAGATAATTAATACAGTCATGATGCAGAAGGAACTAGAAGGGAGATTAGGGAGTAGCTGGAAAAAGAGGGGAAATCTAGAGATTAAGTCATGTTTAAATGCTAGTGGAAGAATTCAATAGACAAGGATAAAGGTTGGAGGTACAGCAAGGGTAAGGGGCTATGTAATCACATGAGGCTCCTGAGAAGGTGGGTAGAGGTGGGATCCAGGGGTAGGTAGGTATAGGGATTGGCCTTCAGAAGGAGCAGGGGAACTTTCTGAGGATCTCAAAATCAAATGCTTAGTTGCCTGGCAATGTAGGCATTTAAGTTTGAGATTCCACAAGAGAGACAAGCCTCTGATAAGCTTACTTGAGAAAATGCAATTATATAACATTAATAATAAGAAAGAGGATATTATGGAGAATGAGATTAAAACCATGTAAGAAAAATGGTACACAACTCTAAGCTTAAGAATTTGAAAATTCAGAGGACATTTTTTCTCTAAGACAATTATCAACTGCCAAAATTGTTTCAAAAGAAACAGAGGCCGGTCACGGTGGCTCACATCTGTAATCTCAGCACTTTGGGAGGCCAAGGTGAGCAGATCACTTGAGCCCAGAAGTCTGAGACCAGCCTGGGCAACATGGTGAAACCTCATT